TTTATTCATGCTTAATATGCGATCCTAGATAAGTAATAAAATAATAGGGGAATATTTTCGTATAGGGAATATTTATTGTAGTTCGAAACGAATTAATTAATGAGAGATAAAATAAATCGTTAGATAATTCTTGATTTCTAGCATTATTTAATTCCATGATCACCATGATGTAAAAGCAATTAGGTATCAATTTTGGGTATTGTGGGAGTGTTTACTCTTCTCCGCGCGTAACCGACTATCGATCCCTAAAAAATAAATTTATGGTAAACGTAGATAAATTTTTTTTTAAAAAAATGAATTTTTTATTTATTTAAATTATTTTTAAGACGTTTTTAGGTATTCGACCTACCTAACTCAAAGATAGACGGTGACTCCAATTTTAAAATTTATTCAATTTCCAAACACATGAATTTTTGCCTTTTAAAAATAAAAATAATTTTCGTTTTGAAAAAATATTGCGACACATTTCTAATTAGTAGAAAGAATTATAAGGTTCCTTTCGAAAGTTATAAAACTTATCTATTATGTGTTGCTCGTAAATGTGAAGTTTCATTTTAAACACTACTTTTTTCACATAACTTTTTATATATTGTATAAATTGGCTTTTTGGAGTATTATCTATAATAATGGAGATCAAAATTACAATTTATATTTATAAGGGACCACCCCTTGCTAGCTTGTTGACACAAACAATGTTAAATGAATGGTATAAGTTTGTTTGTTACTGTTTCACACACACAGCCAATGGTAAAATACCGTCGATTGTTAATTTTTTATTTTCAATTAGATAAATATTTTATATATTAAAAGTGTTAACAAAACAATTCAGAAGTAAAATTGTAATCTTGTCATGTTATCTAAAAAATAAAATTGAAAATAAATAGTCCTATGATGTTTTTAAATATATATCTGAAATATTAAAAAAATCTAAACCTTGAATTGAAAATAATTATATTTGATTAAGTAAATCTATGATCCCAGAAGGTATGATCTCAAACATTTGTTTGAAATGGAGAACATACTAAAAAAGTTAAAAGAAAGTGAAAGAGAATTCGTTGTCATGTCAAAGATTGCGCTACTCTTTCTCTCGTTTACTCCACTTTGTTGAGATTTATATTTAACGGTCAGCTAATGGATAATTTCATGCTCTTTGCAGAGCTCGTCTTCTCTACAAATCTATTGGACACTTTACTTTTTTACCATTGTTTTAAATTCTTTCAATTTCTTCAGTAGTTCAAACTTTTCTTTCAGGATATATATCCAACTTTTTCGACTAAAATAATCAACAAAAATTAAGTAGTACATGTTACCTCAAAGATATGGTATGTCATAAGGATCAGATATATCTGTGTGCACAATCTCCAACGGCCTTTGGGCTCGCAAGGATCTGCCAACTTCAAAACTTTATCTATGTTATTTTCCTTTTATGCAGGCTTCGCATAGTTAATTCAGAGGGTTGATATTTAGTAGTTCTTTCACCATATTTGCTTTCGATAACAACTTCAAACCTGAAAAACCTACATGTCCATATCTTAGATGCCATAACCACGAATTATCTTTGATTGTTGTCTTTATGCACTTGACTTCTCTTGACTCGATATCGATGGTAAAAAGACGATTCTGAGTCATATCGACTTTGGCAATTAATTTTTTTCTTTATTTTTGATGGCGAGGGAGTGATTCCTCATCTGAACTTCATATCATTTTTCCAAAACCTGACAATGTTGATGATATTACTTTTCAAAGTTGGTATATAATACACATCTGAGATGTATTTATTTTCATCATTCTTTTGTGTTATCAATAATTTCGTCTTTGCCTTTGACTTCTGTGTGGGAGTCGTCACCAAAAGTTACTTGATCATTGATTGTTTCATCTAATTTGACAAACAACTCCTTTCAACCACACATGTGGTAGCTTGCACAATTGTCAATGTACTAAATATTTTTCTTAAAATCTCCATCTCCTTTATAAGTTAGGAAAACATGAGATTTTTTAACGTTTTCTTCTTTTGTTGCTATATGATTTCTTTCTATTTCTTTAGGAGTTGATCGATACTCATAACTAAAATGACCAAACTTTTTGCATTTATAACATCGTATCTGAGATTTATTTCCTTGTTGATATCTTTCTCGGCCTTTAAATCCTTTTCCACGGCTTGATGTTTTGTAATTTTCATTTGAGTGAGTGGTTCCATACGAACAACCACCATATCCACAAGTTTCTCGTTCACCTCTAAACCTACACCTTGAAGATATTTTTGTAAAATCTCTCATGCTTGTTTTGCAGTCTTCACATCAGAGATTTTTTCAAAGGTTGATTCTTCAACTCATTGAAAAAAAAGTACAGCGCCCTCTTATCTTTCTTACATGATTCCTTCAAAACTCGTTTCTCTTTATTTGTTAAGGTCGCTTCTGCTTCTGCATTCTCAGGCTCGACATAAACTTCTTCGACAGTATCTCAACAATCTTAGGAACCAATTAGCACCTTCATTTGAATGCTCCAATTACTATAATTCGTATTTGTCAACATCGGGATTTATAGTTGAATCATGTTGGTAATCTTCACTACTACATAAATTCAAACCAAGCTCGAATCAAACTCTGATACCACTTATTGAAAGCATTTGTAGGTACTCGATAAACTTAATAACTCATATAATATTATTAATATGAGTTTCGGCTAATTTACTAACTCAAATTCAAACTCAAACTTTTCTAAGCTTCACCTTATCTCTCTCTTATTTTTTTTCTTCACTCATATATACAAAGAACCAAACACTAAACACATATAAAAGCGTAATAAACTGCCTATTTTTGTCACCCTTCACTGTCATGATTATCTTTAATGTTTGCAATCCATCAGCTGTTGCCAAATCAATTCATTTGTAATTGCCAACTCTCCATATTGATGCCACTTCATCCTTTTATTACCGCCTTAATCAACCTTAATTCTTAAGGTTATCTATCAACAACGTGGAGCTTTAACACATGTCCTCAATACTTGCTCCTTCAATTATCCAAGTGTGTTTGCTGCCACGTTTTAGTCCTTGTTGCCGACTTGCTGCCGACCCAAATTCATGAAAGTTCTATGCCGACATCCAAAAGTCAAGAAATCAAGTTTGATTTTTAACAATTTTTTCTGCCATTATTTGTTAGAGATTCGACGAGTCTAATACATTTAATAGATTTAAAATCTTCCACTAATACTACACCAATTATTTGATGCTAATAAGCTTTTCATTTTATGAATTCTTAATGCATAATGATATGTCGATGACAATATTAACTATATATCAAATAATATAATCAATTATATATCATACAGATAATATAATTAAGATTTCATCGAAAAACTTATAATTATAAGAGACGATAACACTTTCGTTAACACAACTGCAATACGACACAATGTCTTTTTCTCCCTTTATCTCTAAACTCTCTTTCCACTCAATTGAATTATGAACAAGTGTCAACATCTTAATCATTAATTTTATAAATATCTAGATATAATATTAATTATTACAAACATCTAGATTATTATTATTATTATTATTATTATTATTATTATTATTATTATTATATATAAACTTTTATTATTTTTATATTATTTTAGAATATTCTTAATATTATTAAAAAATAGATAATTACATATTTTGTCACTTAACTATTCGTGTTATTTTGTATTAATTTCATTTTGATCAAACGTTGTTAAAAGCTTAACAATGATGTTAGCATGTCATTATAAAATTATGTCATGTCATCATTGTAAAATAAAAACATACCACATTGGTAGTTGTTGAACTTATACTTTGATATAACAAATAAGAGTAAAATATTTTTGGACTTAATTGAATTTGTTCAAATGATTCAAAATTAATTCAAAGTCCACAAAATTTAAAAAATGTTTTCCAAGTAATTTTTAACTTGATCTACACCTTAGAGTAAGTTTAGAAACTCAAAATATTCAATTTTTAGTGTAAGGTTTCAAAACCCCCTTGTACCTGGTTTCAAAATCCCCCTGACTGGTTTGTAAACCCCTGGTTTCAAAACCTCATGAGAGTTTCGAAACCCCTCTAGTAGTTTCGAAACCACTATGCAGAAATGTTAAAATTGAGGGGATTAAAGGCTTCCAACAGCTCTAAAAAATCCCTAACGGTTGAAAATGGTCACAAGCTCATTCAATCATATAAAAACAATCCAAAGAAGGTCACTATATTATTCCAAGCTTAAAAATCAAGAGAAAAGAGTTTTCATTCCTATTTTATACATTTTCTCTTATACATAAGTGTATATAGCTTAATTTCATATCTTTTGTTTTATTCTTGTGAGCTTAAATCTTTGTAAACACCCACCTTGAGATGTCTTCTTGTTTATACAAATCAAACCTTGTGTAAAATGGGAGTGATTCTAGTTTAGCCTTAGAAAAACAATAGTAGTTCTATCTTAGTCATTGAAAAGATAGAGTTGTAACGTTACACCTTATCCTTAAATGTAAGAACAAATTAGTAAATTTGTTGAAATCCTTGGTCTTGAAAAGCTAAGATAGTGGATGTAGAATTTGATTGAGAAAATCAAACTACTATAAATCGATTTGTGCCAAAAAGTGTTATTTTTCATTCAAGATTCCACCAATCTCTATCAAAGCTAATTCATCCCCTCTTGGCGATTTTCGATTGATCGATCGAGCCCAACTATAGTTATGTTAATTTTTTAACAGTATGTGATCGAAATGAAATATAGTTGAGTGTAAACTTTGGGAAAAGATAGTTGAGTGGCCAAAACAAAACTTAAGTGATAGTTAGATGACTAAATATATAATTTACCGTTAAAAATATATGGGAAAGTGGGGTGATTTTGATTGATGAGAATCACCGGAGAATGAAATACCGAAGCACTCTTACAAATAATGGAACCAACAAAGGCAGCAACTAGTGTTGCTGGGACCCATCACAGATCTTAGATAGGATAGAGTTTTGATCAATCAATGGCAACGCAACAAACTGTGCTCGAATTTTAAGCCTCCAAAAGAAAAGTTGGAGGTTCACTCTTTGCAGCATAGCCGTACTTAGATGTACTGTACTTCCTTTGAACGCCTGTAAGTTTTCCTGTCCCCGCTTTCTGATGGAACCCAATCATCATTCTCGAGCATTCCCTAACATGACAATAAATACTAGCACTTAGTTTCAACACAGCAAAAGTTGCATCTTTTCATAGCAGCAAATAGACTTACATAAGCTGCTCTTCCGAGTAGGAAGTATACCACTCGCTGGTCTTGCTCCAATGCTTACACCCACTAATCCTGCATTGGGCAGTGAAGATAGCTGCAGCAGCTAACAAAGATGGTGGGAACTTAAGCATTTCGTATTCGACCAGGCAAAGCTCAATCAAGAAGTATGACAGAAGCTCAAGCTGCAGGTTCAACAAAACTCATCTCACATTCATTTCATCACACACATTGTAAACAAAGAATTTATTCCTTGTCACCAACCTTCTTGTTTGATTGAGCAGCTTTCAGAAATCTCCTCATGAACACGTAAGGCGTAGGAACTGATAGATTGAATTGTAATACATTGGTCATCAATTTCTCCTGCAAATCATGGTGTATGTATCCATCATCAACACTATTTCCAACGGTCATCAAAGAATAAAAAGACGATGATTGCGAACCATATCGAGCACTTCTTTCCTGGTGTACGCCTTGTCTGAAATGAGAATCAGATCCTCAATAACAGGAACAGAAACTTCTTCATATTTGCAGGCTAAAAGCATGGCTGTTACTCCAACCAGCTGGAGTTTCTTCCTCGCTATTTGCTTTATAGCTAGAAATCGATCGATTAGATTGACAGTCAGAAACAAGGTTTCTTCCATCAACTCAAACTTGTAGTGAACCTTGCATTCCATAATAATCCTCGTTAATCTCTATAACAAGGATGTAAGAACAACCAATACAATATCTGCATGCATGCATGCATACCTCTATCAGCCAATCAATGAGGATAGCTCTCATCCTTTGGTTAATGTCATATTGGAGTTCCATGTAATTTGGTGGAACACAACCAGTACACTGCATACATTAAATCATCAAGTTGAGAGAACTAACCAAAAAATAGAAAAGGAAAAAGTCATCTTTTTAAGCCTCAATTGGGCGTTAATCACCTCTGCTTTCTTGTAGAATTTATATAAATCACCAATGTACTCAACAACTGCAAGTGGATTCGATTTATCACAATTGTCAATGTCCAGAAGACGATCTTCATCGACGTCTTCCATTTCGACCTCCTGCTGCAGGGGAGACAAAGAATCATTGTTATTCTCAAGAAAGGGAAAAAAAGTAAAAACTCAGTAGGGTCCTGTTCGGTACCATCCTTTCAATCTCATCCATCATGGCTTCTGTGTGTTGCACAAACATTGGCACATCCTGCTCATTCACATCGATGATGCTGCAGTCTTCGGGTTCATTTGGAACTGACACGGACTGGATTGGTTTCTTAGTTTCCTGTCCATGTGATTAACCACTTAAATAATGCGATTGAATAATTGCGGATAATACCAAAATTTTCAGTTGTAAAAAATGGTACCTCAGGTTTCAGTTGTTGCTTGTTAGCCATCTGGGCAGCGAAATTCCTGAATAGAAACCGAATCGTAAACAAAAAGGATCGAGAAGAACATATATTTTGCCAATAAAAACATCATTAAACTAAAACAAGTTACTAACCTAGTAACTGGTCTATGTTGAGGTATGGGTGGTGGGATTTTACCACAAACTTCATTTCTTCTGAAAATATTAAAAAAACGCTGTTGAGAAACATAGCAATAGAAAACTATTTTTTCCCAAAAAGATGAAGAAAAAGTCGTGTTCTTGGACCATTGAACTACCAAGAGAAACACCCACTCCTCAAAATCAATAGCTAATTCAGAGATCTAATTTCCTTTCAGTTCTCAGAAACAAAACAGAGAAAAATTAATGATAAAGTACTCACTCAGATAGAGGTCTCTTGCTGACTGCACAACGGTGAGGTCGGCCTTCAACTAGGTTCGGGTTAATAGTGCTCAATGCTCTTCGATTCTGCCCAATCGCCGCAGCAAACTTGCCTCCTCCGGCGGCACGTAAACCCCCTTTTTCCAACAAAAAAAAAATCTTTAGTACTTCAAATGAAAAAAAAGTACTATTTAAGCATCAAAAGAAATATTACAGAAAATGGGGTCGAAGTAAGTCACCTTGAAGACGTGAGGGACCGATGACTCCAGGATTGTTTTCGTCGGATCCTCCCATTTTTTCCACTGTTTACAAAGAAGACGACCAAAAGGATAAGAACCCCCTTAAAGATAAACATCCCAAACTATCATCAAAGATCATCAAGACACACACTTTCAATCCAAAATTAAATTAATCACTTCCTCTTTATTCTTCTTCTTTTTCTTTAAATATTTAATATTTTTTAAAGAAATCAGTAAAGACTCATCAAAGTAAGAAGATTGAAACAAAAGTAAAAAAATTCAACCACCTCTGCGAGAATAGCTTCCCTGTTTCTTTTGAAAGAGAACTGAGCTTTGAGGGTGAAGACCGAAGATCAATAGATGTAGATCTTCGTTTTCTTGATTGACGCAGATCTTTTGAAAGAGGAAAAAAGTGAGAATGCAATGAGCATATGGAATCTATGCATTGTCGGCATTATTTTATTTTCAAAACCAACTGCTAGCAAATACTAGCCGTTTGAGTTCTAGATAAATTTGAAGTTCAACGGCTATATTTTATCATGTGCTTTCAATTTTTGTTCCTTCTAGTTTCTATCATGCAATTCCAACTTTAGCCTCAAAAGGGTAAAATGAATTGCTTTTTTATCATTTGATGTCGAGTTTTCTTTCTTTCTTTTTGTTCAGAAATATGAGCATATATAATGCATGAAAAAATTGAGATGTCCAATTCCTAACTTCAAATCGTTCCATGTTTCATTTGACGTAATGTATCTCACATTCTCACTCTATGTTAGACATAAACTTAACATGTAAATTGCACATCAAAATTGTTTTAGCTTAAACTGCTCTTGATAGTTTAGACACACGATTTCGTCCATTATACAATATATATGTATTGCATATTCATACTATATAATATTATGCGTATATTGTATAGTGTATATACACATATATTATATTATTATTTTACTAATAAAAACAATGTCTTTGTTTTGTACATCCCAATAAACCCGTTACAAGCAGTCCACAGTGGACCCAAGTTACACGCTCAGAACACGTGATCCACTTGGAGCAACCCAACCTTGACCCGATTTCAGTGGAACCCGACCCGAACCGATGTAGCTAGGGTTTGCCTCAACCCACTGTCGAAGACTCCTCATCCCACGGTCAGTTTTCTCGGAACACCAAGTCAAATAACAGATCAGTATTGTGGGACTCCAAACAACCGAAAAACAAGAATTTTAATTCGAGTAGGGTCTCTAAAAATAGATTTTTTTAACTATATATATGTACGCATGTAACACAATTTAGACACAAGAAATACCGAAAATACGAGAAGTTAAGCATTGTAAACATTTCGAAAAGCAATAAAAAAGGTGAAAGTCCTTACCTTTATTTATTTTCTTCGCCTGCATGTGAGTTTTGGTTCGTTTTCTCTTCATTTTGATTCAAAAAAACAAGAAAATATGTTTTCGGCCGATGACCAGAAGAGGAGATTTTTGAAATTTGTTTTATCGAATAAAAGGGATAATTTCCCTTTTGATCCTCCATTTTTTCAGTCGTTCACTTTGAACCACAAATTTGACTTTTAGCCCCAAATTTCTTTTAAAATTGACCCCCAGTTTGTTTTTCTTTCAATTCAGTCCCTTCACATTTTAATATTTGTTTTATTTCTCATTTTTATTTATTTAAATATTATATTTTATTATTATTATATATATATGCATATGTTTTTTTCTTGTTTTATTTAATTTATTTACTTTATTTTACTTATTTTTTTATTTCTTTTGTTAATATTATGTACATATATTTTTATTATTTTTTCCCTTCTTTTCCTTATTTTATTTAAATGCTTTTTTATATTTGTTTGGATTTTTATTTATTTATTTATTATTTATTTATTCATTGTTTTATCTTATTTTATTTTATTTTTTACTTATTTAATACTATACTATACCTACATTTGTTTTTATCATCTCCTAGTTCCCTTTCTTCTTGTCCCCTCTTTTTGACCAAATATTTTTTTTTCGGTGCATTGATGGTAGTAGGCCCCTCTTATTTTATTTTTCTTCTTATTTTATTTTTTTGTTTTTGTTTATTTTTTCCTCACGTTTTATGTATATATTGATATTTTATTTTAACATTATTCTTTTTATTTTGTTATTTTTTTTATCTTATTTATTATACACTATGTTATATATATATATTATTTTATTTATTTTTCTTTCTTCCCTTCATTTTGTTTTATTTTATTTTTATTTATTTTATTTTATTATTTTGTTTTATTTTCTATTTTACTTTATTTTCTTTTATTATTTTCTTTTATTTTATTCTTTAGTTATTTTCTTAGGGTTTTTATTTGTTTCATTATTTATTTTTCTTTTGTTGTTTAATCTTGTATTTAGCATGATTATTTTTTTTTTCGTTAATAAACTTGTTTCTCTTACATTATTTTATTTTTATTTTTTTATTATTATTTTTTCATGAATTTTAATATGCACATTTTATCTTTATTTCAGTTAATTCTTCAGTATATACATTTTTTAAAACATTGTAATTTAACCCTTTTTATATTTTCTGGTTCAGTCTTTTTATCTGACATTTTATCATTTAAAGGTACTTTCGTAAATTCGTTAAAGGTAAGCAATTTGAATCATTATTTTTACCTTTTAATTTAAATTTTCAATTTTCTTAATTAAAGACAACTGAAAATTACGTAGTACCGAAAGGGCAGTTCAAGGGTGCTAACCCTTCCTTGACTGTAACCGACTCCCGAATCCGACATATCTCTGGTAAGATGCAGATCAGGTAAGAAAAAAATGTGTCCGATCAAACTATTTATCTTTAAAATAAATTATCGATAACGACTCTAACCATTCCATTCAAGTTAAAGCCCAATTCTGGGCCCCAACTGAAAGACGGTTCCGACATATAGATGCTTAAATTTTACCATACTTCTCGTCATATAAAAAATGGCACGATTTTTGTCACTTCATTTTACTGAGACGAATATTTAATTATCGATCGGTGAATGACTGCTGTTATTAATCAGGTAAGCATGATTCAATATTCATGGAAAATAACCGATGTCAGATGGTTATGATAATAAGAAGCACCTATACTCAACAAACCAAAAAAAGAATACACTGGGGGCCAGCAACAAGTCATGAAACACTTAATTTACGAGCCGGCTCCTCTTCATGCCAAGTTTGCCTAAATATTTCGTCACTTTCCGCGACAACAGCCATAATAACACCTTCATTTTCTTGAAAGGAATGGCTTAACCGACTCTACCACCACCTGGATTAAATGAAATTGAAAATCCAACATAAATCAAATTTAAACTACAACCCAGACGTTAGTCGATGATTATATGTTTCATCTATCTTCCTGAGTTGCAGGTAGTTCTTTCCCTGCCATCATATGATAGAGAAGCGAATATCCAAGGCTCGCGATTACTCCAAGCAAGGCCTGGCAACAGATTGTGGTTACATTTATTTCTTAAAACCATAGTATAAAACACATGTAGAGGTTAGGACTGATTACCATACACACCATCTTCATAATCACGGTACGAATTAAGCAATGGGTCAGCCAGTTGAGCTGGCGATTCAGCTATGCTGTTAACAAAACAAAATTAAAACAATAAAATACCAGTGAAGATCAACCAATAAAACACAAAGTTGTGCAATGCTCCAGATAGAGCAACCTTTCAGAGGTTGCCTCATCTTCAGCGGATGTAGGAGCCGTCCACAAGTTTACAGTTGAGTCGGTGCCAGCACTCTACAGAAGGGCAAATTCTTATCAAGAATTTTCAAAATATACCAATAAACAACAAGTTGCAGTTTATGTTATAGTGACTTAAAAATCTATGGATATTGCTATGCCTAGTGGATTCAGACGAATATTCGTAAGAATAGTAACCAGTTTAATCCAAGACCCTAATGCCTATTCCTAAATAACAATATTAAGATGAATGCTCGTAGAGAGAGAGAACCAGAATTAGCCCATCATACTCAGGGTTACAAGTTACAGCCCATGTCCTGCAAACATAAACATGTCACAATCAATGAACTTAAATACTCCCTTTTCTTTCTAGTGGCACCATCTTAGAACATAAATTTTGGAGATTAATTATAAATCAATCAATTGAGAAAATAGGAAGAGTAAAGTTCCTCAAAAATAAAAAAAAGGCCCATAAGAGTGCAAGTCAATTACCAGTGTGTGTGCCCAGGAAGCTCTTTGACAGGACTTTTGGGCTTTCTAAGATCCCATATGTGTATCCCAGATTCATCTTCTGCAGTGACCTGTGATGAAAGTGACAATAATAACTTGGTATCAGTAACCAGCAGAAATACCATCTCACTTGAATAGGTTCATTCACAAACCACTTCACAATCACCGCTTCCATGTTGTTTACCATTCTTTTTTTTCTTTCAGCAACTACTATAAACAATGTCTCTTATGATTGACAAAATGCAAAGGATCAACTTCATTCCATCAAACCCCACATACCAGTAAAAAGATTATAAATAGTGGTCAAAAATAGAGAAATTTCCTTTTAGAAAATGTGATGAACATCCGAATGATCAATATGTTGTTTTATCTATATATAATTGATATACAAATTTGAAATCTTGCAGTTGTGTATGATTAAACAAGGTTTGTAAGTGTACATGTCTGCATAGCAGATTTCCAACAGTGCGTTATGTGCTTGGCCACAGCTTTGACTAAAATGAAAGTATAGTTTAATTGACAAGTAAATCCTCCCAATTTCATTTTCCAAAAAAAAAAATCTTCCCAATTTCTCATCCTTACCATGTCACATGGACAATTGTAATTTATAATATCGGTCTATACTATATTATCTAGGATTCACATAGTTATAGAAATAAGAAAGTTTCGTTTGATAGAAAAAGAGTTAAAGATGATTTTAAATAGTAAAATATTCAAGCTATATCCTTACAAGTATATGATTTTTCTTCATATCATAGTTAGCATTGCGGATATTAAAATTGTTGTCAGCAACAGCATAACTCGAAGTGCAATCAATAAACTATATCTAGGTAAACATTTACGAAAAATGATCTGTAGAGAAACGGAATAATTAGAAGGTACAAGCTACAACATCATGCCTTCCTTGTCCTCTTTTCTTCAGCTAGAGGAAGGCAGGTGGTCAAATAGAAACTTTTTGAATTTTGGCCCATGAATTTAGAAAAATGAGTCAAATCACAAGGGAAATGGAACACCAAATTAAATGACCACCAGCATAATGATTAAACAGTTTAGAACTAATCTAGAAACTAAGATATGCAGAGACAACATACTTCATTGTACGTAGATCCCAAAACTGAACTGATGATTCACAAGTTGTCGCAACAGCATTTATGTCATGCGGATCCCATGCACCACCAGATAAGTAATGAAGCAAACCAGATGACTGCTTAGATTGTACCTAGATTTCCACAATAAGATCTGAATAAGCATCAAATACTAAATAAGCAATCAATGGTTTATGGGCTAGGGTTCAGATATCCGACATGGGTAAATGTAAGGGCCACATACGTCATTTGCTAAAAAAATCATCTGCCGCTTTAACTGATGTCATATTTTCACCAAATTTCACTCATAAAATCTCCTTCGTTTCCTATTTCCGTTTTTCCACTTGATCCTCCATCACACAGCTTTGAAACCTCAAAACATCCCTTGCCACCAAGAACCACCTCTGCAATGTTAGCTGCTGTGTTGAACTACACAGCAACTAGTCTGCCACATATCATGCCGTGTTAACAATGGGTATGGTTCCATAAAGTGCTGAGTCCATGTAACATAGATTTACGTTTAATTTTTTTTTTACGATAACTGCCACTGATATGTAGTCAATGTCTCTGTCAGGTTAGATAAATGCAAAGTTTTCAATTGCCACAAAATTTAATATCAGATTCAGACACTGAAGCCATAGAGTATATTGAGATATGGGGAAGGAAGAAAATGGGGGAAAAGAAAAAGAAAAGGAGGGTGAACTAACAATGCAAGTGATTACAAATATATCAGTTGTGTCTTTGAAGAAAGTATTCCAGTATTGAGCACTACTTCCACAAAAATAAAATAAAACCTAGAGGTTGAATATTCACATGCTAGTACAATAATCATTGATGATAAGAAGACAATCCTTGCAGAATCTAATCTGGGCAGCCTTTTTTGAACAATCTAACGTCCATAAGAAAATATTTTCATCATCAATGCTGATCAACTTATCATGTCTTCCAGACGGCCACCAGAGAACACTGTTAATAAGTAAAAGCCAAATTAAATTTCACAAAAAATGTCCAGTACAAAATGCAAAGAATATACAGCTTTAATAACTTGGGGGGGGGGGGGAATTATGAATCAGTAACTCACCAATTAATCTTGCCAACATGTGCATCAAGGGAGGCAATTCTTTCCAACTGCGGTGAATTTAACTGTCCATATAGCTCAGGGATCTGCCCTATTGCAGCCACATAAGATTCACCTTCAACGACAAAGAAAACTATCAAACCAGTCTCTATCTTTAAGCAGTAAAACTTTTCGACAGGATAATGCTGTTGCAGCAGCTAATTCAACTGTAGCAAAACAATGGGTATTTAGATTAGACTCTTTTTTATTAGATATTTTTGAATCAGGACATTTTTGTTGGTTTTTTGGCAAAGTCCCACATTGGTTGTGTATAAGGAGGATGGGAAATTCTTTTGTTATAAATAGAGTCATCCTCCTCTTTAGTTAAACATCCCACAAATATAAGTCTTGTTCTATATTAAAAGGCTATTTGTATTCTTTCTTTCTCTTTGTAATATTTTCTCTATTAGTGAAATATTATTTTAGTAGTGTTCGAGGAGGTAGGCATAATTTTGGCCTAACCTCGTTAAATTTTGGTGTTCTCTTTATGTCAATTTAATAGCTATTGTCGAGTATAGTTGTTGTTAATTATTGTCCTATTAAAATTACTTGTCTTGGTAGTTCTGTCTAAGGAAAGTGGGTTTTAAAAGGGACCATTGTGACCCCTCCCCTTTCCTGAGAATCTACCTTAGTGTGATTTTTAGTACAATCGTTTTCACACTAATCGTTTTCACACTAATCGTTTTCACACTAGTCATCTAGATAATAGTTTGAAAGGTGAATTTGTTATTATTGGTAGAAATTAACCCGAATTCCACAACAATTGGTATCAGAGCTCTTGGTTTATTTTAGTATGCTCTGTGGTTGCGGCTTAGGTTGATCTTCCACATCAGAAATTTTTTTTTTTTGGATAATTGACATTCCGCATTGACAGCTATTAAATAGAATTTGTAGCAGAAATGGCAAACGCAACAAAAACATCCACATCGTCGTCAACAACTGTGACAAATGTTAGATTTGCAGTGGAGATTTTTGATGGCACCGGTCATTTCGACATGTGGCAAAGTGAGGTTCTAGATGCTCTATTTCAGCAGGGTCTAGACATTGCTATTGAAGGAGAGAAACCAGATGATGTTGAGGAGAAAGAATGGAAGAGGATCAATAGATTCACATGTGGTACTATTCGATCGTGTCTTTCTAGAGAGCAGAAGTATGCATTTTCTAAGGAAACTTCTGCAAGTAAATTGTGGAAGGCACTGGAGGAGAAATTTTTAAAGAAAAGCGGTCAGAACAAGCTCTACATGAAAAAGAGATTGTTCCGCTTCAACTACGTATCAGGTACCACTATGAATGATCGCATTACTAGCTTTAATCAGCTGGTGACTGATCTGATGAATATGGACGTGACTTTTGAAGACGAAGATTTGGCTCTAATGTTGATAGGATCACTTCCTAATGAGTTTGAGTATCTTGAAACTACTCTACTTTATGGGAAAGTTGATGTGTCTCTCAGTGAATTAACTGCTTCCTTGTATAGTTATGAATTAAGAAAGAAAGACAAACAAGAAAACACAAGTGTCGAAGCAGAAGCTCTTGTTGTTAGAGGCCGTTCGAAGATTCAGAATAAAGGAAGGAGAGGGAGATCAAAGTCAAAGTCCATATTAAGCAAAGATGAATGTACCTTTTGTCGAGAAAAAGGGCACTGGAAGAAAGAATGTCTCAGGCTAAAGAACAAACGCAAACCTGAAAGGGGAAAGGCTGTCTCAGAATCAAATGTGGTCGAGTATGATGATGCAGATTCAGATTTTGCATTCGCTGCTACGCCATCAACCAGCTGTTCCAGTTCATGGCTGTTAGATTCAGCTTGTAGCCACCATATGACCGCCAATAGAGAATGGTTCTTTGATTTTAAAGAAATAAAAGGTGGAATTGTCTACACAACAAATAATTCCCCTCTTGACACACTTGGGATTGGTTCAACTCGCTTGAGGAATCAGGATGGATCAATCAGAACCTTAACAGGTGTCCATTATGTACCATATTTAATGAGAAATCTCATCACTGTGGGAACCTTAGAGTCAAAAGGTTTAGAAGTGAGGGCAAAAGATGGGATTATGAGGATTATCTCTGGTGCACTGGTGATAATGAAGGGAATCCGGAAAAGAAACAATGTGTATTACTTTTTGGGTAATACAATTGTTGGGACAGCAACAGTGGCAGCTTCTACTGATGAACATGAGTCAGAAGCAACCAGGTTATGGCATATGCGCTTGGGGAATATTGGTGAAAAATCCTTGAAATTGCTGATAGATCAAGGATTATTGAAGGGTACTCAGGCTTACAAATTAGCTTTTTGTGAGCATTGCATCAAAGAGAAGAAGACGAGGGTGAAATTTGGAACAACAATCCATGATACTAAAGGTATTTTGGATTATGTTCATTCAGATGTATGGGGGCCTTCCAAGACAACTTCATTGGGAGGAACACACTAATATGTCACATTTGTTGATGTTTTTTCCTGGAGAGTTTGGGTGTATACAATGAAGACAAAGGATGAGGTGCTAGGATTTTTCCTTAAATGGAAAAAGATGGTGAAGACTCAAACAGGCAGAAAAATCAAACGTCTCCGTACAAACAATGGTGGAGAGTACAAAAATGATCCATTTATAAAAGTATGTGAAGAATAAGGTATTGTTAGGCACTTCACTGTCAAATCTACACCACAACAAAATGGGGTGGCAGAGCGAATGAATCGGATATTAGTGGAGAAGGTTCGGTGTATGTTGTCTAATGCTGGGTTAGGCAAATAATTTTGGGCTGAGGCTTTGGTCTATGCTTGTCACCTTGTCAACCGCTTACCATCGACTGCTATTGGTGGTAAAATACCATTAGAGAAATGGTTTGGAGTACCTGCTACAGATTATGATTCCTTACACATGTTTGGTTCCACTGCATACTACCATGTTAAAGAGTCAAAGTTGGATCCAAGAGCAAAGAATGCGATCTTTATGGGGATTACCTCTGGTGTGAAAGGCTATCGTCTTTGGTGTGCAGAAACAAAGAAAATAATCTTCAGCAGGGATGTTACCTTTGATGAATCTACCATGTTGAGAAAGGTGACTTCAGAAAAATTAGAGCAGACAGATGGAACTCCCAAACAGGTGGAGTTTGAAGGAAGCAAAATTGACCCAACCAGTAAAGAAACTGATGATGACTCTCCTATGATAGAAGAAGAGTCAGATGAAGAAGAGGTTCAGACCCAAGAACCTCCACAACAACATGAATAAATTGCACTCAGAAAGTGAAAGAGGATCATTAGACAACATGCTCGTTATGCTGATATGGTCTCTTTTGCATCACCAATTGCAATTGATGACGTTCCTGCCACTTTTAATGAAGCAGTCCAAAGTTTAGAACATAAAAAGTGGAGGATCGCCATGAATGAAGAAATGCAATCCCTTCAAAAGAATCAGATGTGGAAACTAGCTAGTCTTCCGAAGGGAAAGAAGGCAATTGGGTACAAGTGGGTATATGCAAAGAAAGATGGATTTCCTGACAAGAATAACATATGCTACAAAGCAAGATTGGTGGCTAAAGGCTACGCTCAAACGGAGGGAGTTGATTATAATGAAGTATTTTCTCCAGTTGTAAAATATTTCTCCATCAGAATTTTGTTGGCTTTAGTAGCACAGTTGGATTTGGAACTAGTTCAGATGGATGTAAAAACTGCATTTTTACATGGAGACTTGGATGAGGAAATCTACATGACTCAGCCAGATGGATTCAAAATTGCTTAAAAAGAAGAAATGGTGTGCAAATTAGAAAAATCGCTATACGGATTGAAGCAATCTCCAAGGCAGTAGTACAAGCGATTTGACAAGTTTATGATAGGGCAGAAGTACACAGGAAGCAAATATGATCATTGTGTGTATTTACGCAAGCTACAAGACGGATCCTATATATATCTTCTTCTTTATGTTGATGATATGCTGATAGCTTCCAGGAGTCAGACAGAAATTGCGAAACTAAAGACTCAATTGAACAGAGAGTTTGAGATGAAGGATCTTGGTGAAGAAAAGAAGATTCTAGGCATGGAGATATCAAGAGATAAGAAATTGGGGAGGCTTTGTTTGTCTCAGAAAGAATATCTGAGGAAGGTACTAAAACGTTTTGGCATGAATGAGAAGTCAAA